CACCACGTAGCGGGCCATGGAGGGCACGGCGGAGCAGGCGATGACGGGCACCACGGAGCAGTCCAGGGAGGGCACGACGCAGCTGTCCAGGGCGGGCACCACGGAGCAGGCCATGGAGGGCACCAGGGCGGAGGGCCGAGGAGATAGTATCCCGGCACGTCCGTGTACTGGGGCAGAGGATCGAAGCCCGGTGGAGGTCGATGACCGAACGCCCACGGAGGCGGCGGGCCGAAGCAGGCCGCCCTCTGGGGGAGGCTGGTAGACCTCCGAGGCGGACTCGGGGCCCTTGGAGGTGGACTAGAGGCCCTCCGAGGTGAGCTGTGGCGCCTGCGAGGCGGGCTGTGCTGCCGCGACGGAGGAGCAGCCTCCACGTGCAACACTGATGGTACAGCGTAAAGCGTAGATCGTTCGAGCTCCCGAGGGCTCTCCTCGAAACGCCGCGCGATGGTGAGAAGGTCATCGACTGACGCAAACCTCTGGGCGGCGAGATGCTTCGAGATGTTGGGCCGAAACCGCGCCTGAATGGTACTCGCGATCTCAGCCTCGGAGAGAGCGCTGCGCTGCTTCTTGCTGACCCGCCAAAGCATGTGTTCCATCGCTGTGACGAAGTCAACGACAGACTCGGACTCGCCCTGCGTACGGCGAGCTATTGCAAGCCACATGTCTGCGACGGACACGTCCTGACGAAACCGGGCGATGAACTTCTCCTTGAAGGTGGTCCAGAGCGCTGGGGTACGGCCGAAACGGTCGAAATGTGTCTCCAAAAAAGTAAGAGCTGACCCTTCGACTGAGTGCTCCAACAGGGTGAACCAGTGGCGGGGAGAATGACCATACATAGCCCACAGCGCTTCTCGGGAGGCCAGGAAACGCGCCGGGTCAGCGTCATCATCGCCCCGATATATCGGCGCAACCTGGCACAGTAGAGAACCGAGGAGGACACCTAAGGACGCCATGCCGGGGCAGCGACGTGCACGCGTTCGCCGAGAGGAGAAACAGGGACGCCACAGCGAAAGAAACACGCCGACAGTGCAAAAAACTTAAAAACTAAAAAAACTTAAAACTAAAAAATTTAAAACTAAAACGGAAATGAAGTGAGGGGGTAAAAGAAAAATGCACTAAAACGAACACAACACTCGAAAAACCAACTGGCGGAGAGTTACTGACTTAAACATACACAAACACAAGTGCTCGACATACACACCGGTAAGGAGCATTACTGCCTTAAACAAAAAACAAAGGTTCGACTAACCACGAGATCCAGGTCATTCTCATGGCAGGAACATTACAGGTTACAACTAATGAGTCGATGAGTGTGGGCATGCCCAGAGTTTGATCAAACCAACCCCATTTCACCTCCACCATGTTCAACTACAGCGAGACCGGCCCA